CAAAAAGGTAGAAAAGTAATAATAAGGTCTCTAGGGATTGTCTCTATAATATAATTTACAACTTTGTTTTTTTCTGCATGTCTAGGTTGCACCACATGATGTTTTTTAGAAAAAAAAAATAGAACCCTTTTTTTAGAATACTTTTTAGAAATCATTAAACGATAATAATAAATGACAAAATAACCATAAAAAAATGAACCAACATAAACCAAAATTAACAAAATATAAAAATATATAAAATTCATTGAAATTAAAAACAGAACAAACGTAATTGTCGATATTTAAAAAATATATATTGAAAAAAAAATGTAAGCTTGACTGATTTAGTTATTACTGTTTGATTTATTTAGTTATATTAAAGTTACTTAATGGATTTATTTATATTAAAGTCAGCATGAAAAGGAAGTATCATCTTTCTTGTGACATATATTTGAGTGAAACGGCGACATGAGAAAAAAAAATGTAGAGCGGGACTTGATTTTGTCCATCAGCAATTGATTGGCTTAAAAAAATATATAATAATAAAAATAAGAACTGTCTATTTTGATTTCATGGTTACTTGAAATACTGTTTTGACATAATTGCAACCAGTTCATGCTGTGAACAAGATTCAGAATTTTCTAACAGTCCAGAAAACATCTAACTGTAGCATTCACTAATTATAGGCTCTGTAATCGCCAACCATCCCAAAACACTGGTCTCACTTAGTCAACATTATCTTACTCTATTAGCTTTGAGAGCATTATTTGTGTTTAATACAGCTGTGACTGACAGGGACATCAGTGGCGTTAGAGTTGCAATCTCCAAAGCAAACTCCGCCACGGTGCTTGCGGGGTTAGAATGGGCCATACCGCTAGGTAATCACTAGCCACGCGGTTAATGACTCACACAAGCTACTGATTCAAGGTGAAGCTGTTAATGCCATTTGTGTGCTTTCCAAGAGATACAATCGCAACAACTGTGCGATCTTTGCTTTGCTAAATTAAAATAAAACAGCACTCAAGGGCAAAGGCTGTGAGGACATCGGTTTTCTAATTTCAGCCTTCTCTGCAAGTTCCAGTCACTTATTTAACACACTGTTGAGGCCCCCGGATGCTCACTGAAACCTCCATTTTCTCCTTTCTGAACATTTGCTTCAGATTTTAATTACTTGTCAATTTCAAGCTGTCCCAAGGCTTAACACTTGCTGTCAGCTTCCAGTCAGTCCCTCCCAACACGCCAATGCATTACTACCAAAAGTTATTGTGTTTGGGATAAGAGCAGTGAAAGAGAACCTTAAAAACCGGCCTAGCCTTGAATCTCCACGTCACTTTGTTGAAGGCCCTCGAGCATTCAGGTATAGTAAAAACCTTTGTTTGCTACAAGAAATATCCAGCTGCTACTGTGCTTTGAAGCGCAAGGGACATTTCCACAGGCTTACAACATCTCCATCAATTTAAAATCAAAAGGCTGCCGTCTCGATGTGTAAACAAGAAACATCTATCAATAGTACATACTTCATATCACAACGAATCAAAGCCCAATATGCCACTTCAGTCCAACAGCCTCTCAAGGGTGTTCAGGACCACGGACAGCCCATCCTTTGCTATTCAACCTCTGCCTCCTCACTTCTGGCATATGAATAAAAATAGGGTCCTTCCAGTCTCATCTAGTCATGTCACATTCCTGCATCATACCAATGCTGTTTATTGAAGAAACAGCTTTTTTAAGTGTAATATCAGCTATCTGCTGGTATTCTACAAAGAAAGCTTCATGTCTACAATTAATTTGATGCATGCCTTAAATGAATCTGGAGTAGATAGATAGATAGATAGATAGATAGATAGACAGATAGATAGATAGATAGATAGACAGATAGACAGACAGACAGACAGACAGACAGACATAAGTTATGATATGATATGATATGATATGATATGATATGACATATATGATATGATATGATATGATATGATATGATATGATATGATATGATATATAGAAAAATATGAAATACGATATATAAAATACACTACTGTTTGCAAAGTTTCAGGTAAGTATGTTTTTTTCATATAGACACACATATATGTCAGCGTTTCCTAAAAAAAATGCTCTCTCTCTCTCTCTCTCTATATATATATATACAGCTGAAATGGACACAGCAAAAAAATAAAAATCCATTTTCAGTATTGATGAAAATAATATAATTACAAATTGATTGCTATCAATGTCTGCTTCTGCTTCACCTATGTAAGTCTTCTCTTTTATTCTCCTCAGTACTTTACTGGATCGCGGCGCTCGTCACTCAGAATGATCGGTTCAGAACTGTCCTTATCCATTATCAACACACACTCAGTGGTGCTGTAAAAGCACCTCATGAATTCTACCTCACATATCACCAACAACTGCACTTGTGTTTTTATGAGTCTATGTATTAAGTGAGCACATTGGGCGGCTACATAATTTATCATTCATTATGCTTTATGTGAGTGCTGCAGGCATAAAGGATGCTTTTTATAAATCCAGATAATATGATATTAATATGAGCGTTGCTTTTCCAACACTGCACATACAGACATGCCATCTTTTCACCCCCATCTTGCCATCTCCCTCTATGTCTGTCTATCTGTCTGTCTATCCATCTCTCTCTCTTTCTCTGTATCTGCGGCACCATTGCTCTCTCCTCCACAAAGAGCCTGGCTCAGACACCTTGCATACAAAACAGCTGACTCAATCTTCAAGCTGCATAATCAAGATAAGAGAGATGGAGAGAGAGAGAAGGGGACAGATGTACGCATCTAACAAATTATGTTTTAGTTTTTTGAACCAGCGCAACTCATCGTTGAATGTTAGGTTATGCTTAAGCACAGCTCTTGAGTAAATCCTCCTGATGAAAGTCGAGAATGATCTGCCGTGTTTTTAACAAATGATTAAAGCGACGGTGGAGATTTTCAATCTGTCTGTAGCTTATAGTGCGATTCAGTCATTCAGTCATCTATATACAGGTTGTACAGATAGACTACTACTGTATATCTTGTAGTGAATGATCTTTCAGCAAAGACAAATTCATGCACTAAAATCCAAAATAATAATAATAATAATGTTCATGTTTATTCTGATCCAAGCTTTTCAAACAGGGGTCCCTGAAAGTACTCCAGTGGGTCCTTGGGTAAAATATTTGAAGAAACATATGAAACACACATTTTCTAACTGATGATCTGTTAAGCATTATATAATGCAATTTTTTCTTAATGATAGCTATTATACATTGTTACCAAGAAAATCTAGCTTTTTTATGCTGGTTGATCCCTGGGGTTGGCTCAGAATCTGCATAGGGGTTCCCTGGGTCTATAGAAGATGAAAACGCCTGCTTCAGATGAATAACATTCATTATTTTAGGCTTCAACAATATTTTTCAGCCTGTTATTGTCAAAACAAAACCGCTGTAAGACCAAAATGATTTAGTTCCTTTGCACCTTGTTAAAAAAAAACTCTTAAGAATCCAAACATTTGGCTTTTAAGAACTCTGAGAGTGATTTATAAGTCTCAAAATACATGCTTCCATTTATTGAAAAAGGTTTGTCCTGACAAATGTATTTGCGTGTTTTGAGGGGGATAGGTACTTTACTTACAAGCTGAGACACTATCACTCCGTTTGCTGATCCAGTTCTTACTGGAATACACTGTTCTGACAGTAGCATGACAGACGAAGCTCTTTTCTTACCATGTGAACTCTGTTACTCGGACGACCTAATATGCTTAGTATCTTTCAGAGGGTGAGTCTTAAAGTTTAACTGTACAGTTATGTCAGTCAAGGTGAGGAAAATCAATTACATATCCAATTGGATGCACATATTTCACAGTTTAAAGCATGCAGCACTTACATTTCACATATAACTAGCATTTGCACTGAATCCAAGTCCTGTTAAACGGAACAGGTTTGGTCATTTTTCATGTCTTCTCTTTTAAAACTTTTTAACTCACAGCTGTTTGTAAAATGTGTTATTTTTCTCAATTTCAAGTTTTATTAAAGCATTAAAACTGGTTTATGTATTCATGAAATCTATAAAATGACATATTCCAAGGTATGTCTGCTTCATACATAAAATATTAACTCAATTATTATCTCTCTGAATAATTTATTAGACTTCTAGCGTCAAATGATTTCTTAATTTAGCAATTCTAACGTGCAGTCCTCAGAGAGACACTCATGCACAGATTTCATTCAACACTACACACAACTGGTAATAAACCAACTGCATTTTATATACAGTCAGAACACTTTCATCGTTGAAATAGACTGGAAAACTTTCAGAGCTCTGTCGGCGTAAACGGACACCGTTAGCTATTATAAGCGTATTTGCCATGTTCAGATCGCACTCACGCGATTCACTAAAATGTAGTGAGGACTGAAAGAAGCGATCAGTTGTCGGTTTTACGGCTGAAGGCGAACTCTAGCGGCAGACCAAACCTGTCTGCTGTCCGGGGTCCTGAAACGTTCGGCTACATTTATGGAGATGTTGGCGAAAGCACGAGATATTCAAGCCTGTAACATTTTTAAGTAAGACGCTTTGGAGTTCAACAAGCCCTAAACTAACAGGCATGAAGTGTTCACATGCTTAATCTAGCTTAGAATTCCAAATATTGCCGCACAAATGCATCATGTCAGCATTTGTCAAATTATTCCATGCAGAATGTCAATTGATTCCAAACGAAACGCGCTCACAACTCGCGTGAACATTTGAACGCCGATATACACTCACGCCTTAGTGCAAAACGAAGCGAATGGATGTTAATTTTAAGTCCGTGTAGGTTTCACTGTCAAACTCAACACATCAGACGATGCATTTATAAGTTACACAAGTCACGCCGAAGCATTTGTTGCAAATAAGCGGATGTACAAAAGCCACATGGATAACTTACATGTCTCAGACTACACTTGCGCTCCTTTCATTTCTCGTCCGACAAAACCAACGTTAGAAGCGACGTAGATGCGAAATTCCAAAGCATTTCTCACTTACCTCTTTCGCAGAGCGAAGCAAGAGTCTCTCCGTAACCAAACCGGGGTCCCTATGTCACCATGTACCCCCTTGACATTTTCAAAGAGGCAGTAGATATCGGACGAGGGTAAAAAAAAAACACACAACAAAAAAACAAAACGCGCACACACACACAAGGTTCCTTTTGGCCTCGGAATACAAAGAGGTGCAGCTCCTCACTGCGTCAAGCGCGATCCTCAAAGATCCATTAAAGAGCAAGTGATTAATTCAAGGCAGAGCCTTTATGTATTCCGCACAGACAGATACATGGCAGAGTAGTTTTGTCTGTCATAAAGCGAGCGACATCGCCTTATAACTATTTCCAGGCATTCATTAGTTGAGCTGAGGAGCGGGACTAGAGCACTGCTCATCCACAAGTCCAGTTGGAGCAAAGTTAAATCTCATAATAAGATTGTAGGTTACTGCGAGGCTATAAATGGTGTGGGTTCGACACTGAAGGCAAGAGGGCTGTGTGCCACGTGAGAGCACTGTTTAGTTCAAAATGTGAGATGTTAACACATCATCACTGTACGCAGTAAGCATCTAAACTTGCGAGTTATTTTCGAATTTGTAAATCTACTTACAGCAGCACGGCGAGAACATTGGCTGTGAAGAATAAAACCTTTGGCACACATTGCCAATTATATTTACGCTGCTGGTCGAGGAATTAATATGCTTATTTTATTCCTTAGCAAAGTTATAGCTATAACAATACCTGTTGTGCAGGCTATTGGGAACCCATTTTTTAAAATACCGGTATACCGGATTTTTTTTTTTTTTTCAGGAAATCGGTTAAAGATTCTCAAACAGCAATGTATGAAGTATCCTACTAAAATATGCACCACTTTTCAACGGCGCTGCTAATTCTAACGAGATACAGCACGACCAGCGTCGCTCGAGCTGGTTCTTTGTAAATCAAAAACAGCGCAGTGCAATCGACAAACGAATGACTCTTAGGAGACGGTCTCGTCCGATTATCGAATGAACGATTCATATGAGCTGCTTCTTTTGGTGAATCAAAAACGCATATGACTCAATCAGGGCGGTTATTGAATTAATCATTTACTGAATCTAAACTGTACTTCCGTCATGAACTGTTATATTGTACTAAAGGCTCGTGACATCAAGGAACATACTGATTGGTTAATATGACAACGTTCATTTAAAAGATTGTGAATGAATAAACAAATTTTGTAGATCGGACCAGTTGCTGAACTGCATGAAACATCATTAAAAATGGTTCAAACACACATTTTTCATTAAATGTATTATATCCTATTGTTCTATTAAATCTTGATTATCTCATAATTTGGCAACAGACTGCTGAAGGCAGTAAATGGAATAAGAATTGCATTACATTTTATTTTTTCCAACTGAAGGACTACAAGAATCATTAATCGAACCGTTGTTGAACTAGAATCATTAAAGGGGTCATATGATGTTGCTAAAAAGAACCTTATTTTGTGTATTTGGTGTAATGAAATGTGTTTATGCGGTTTAAAGTAAAAAAAAAAAACCGCATAATGTTTACATACTGTACATTATTGTTTCTCCTCTATGCCCCGCCTTTTTGAAACGCGTCGATTTTTACAAAGCTCATTGGTTTGAAAAGCGAGGTGTGCTGTGATTGGCCAGCTATCCAGTGCATTGTGATTGGCCAAATACTTCAAGCGGGTGACGGAAATGTTACGCCCCTCACCATACTGTGATGCCCTGTCTGGCCGGAGCAACGAGACAAAAACATTAAAACCCATTACAAACGAGGCATTTGTTGCATCCAGTGGGGACATAATTACTGATTATAATGACTTATACTGTCTTTTTACGCGTTGCGTTGCATCGCGCCGCGCCGCGCCACGTAAACATAAAACCCTATCTGCATTTGTGATCGAAGAAATGACAAACAATAAGTGTTACTCTACACTGCCCAAAACTCGCATTTGAATCGTCAGTGGCAAGATATGTGGGGGCGTGTTAGAACGAGCCGTTTTAGGTAGGCGTGGTTAACTCTTAACTTTTATAAAGAATATCTCTTTGGATTTGAGACTTTAGTCTTTGCAACTTTACAGATCTTCTTTATGCACCAAGAGCTTGTAACACTCCAAAGAGAAAGGAAAAATTGAAATCGCATCATATGACCCCTTTAAGAGGTATTACAAATAGAATCAGTAAATTCCCATCCAAGATCCAGACATACAGGCAGAATTCTCAAAATACAATTTTACAGTTTCTTGCTGGAATCATACAGGGAGGGGGTAAAAAAAGTGCAAAGAAAGAAACAAGGCTTGCATCATTGCATATTGACTTCTTGCACTCTTGGGAACAGCACCTATCTACCACATCCTCCAAATGCACTCAGTCACAATTTAAGGTTGGTAAACCTTTGAGGTACGATTGACAGCCATTCTTCATACTTTGTAACCTTGACTCTCTGGAGGCAGAAATTGAAGAAGGGGGCAGGAGGGAGCTGTGGGCTGCTGCCTAAGTGTCTGGCACAGGATGGATGCATTGTGGAGGCTGAAGTTCCCCAGCTCTCTGCAGCACTCATAAAGAAGCATGCAGGCACTGAGTGGGCATCTATCTGTAGAGAGGCGCTGGTGATCTGGTGCATTACCCACAGAGTGGCCGGGCTTTTGTCTGTGTGTGTGTGCCTGCTGAGGATCACCGGTCCGCATAGCTGCAGGGTTGGGGCTGTCAACGCTGACTGCTCATTAGAGTGGGCAGGCTGATGTGACGTGGCAAGGTTAAATGCTTGCTATTCCTGTTGTAGGTAGTAGTCAATCGGAGGTAAGACAAGGGGTGCAAACTGATCCCTCGTTAAGTTTTATGCAACACGGAAATATTGCAAAGTCTATGTTCATCATAAATTAAGCAGTGTCTTGAGTCACACAAATTTTTGCCTTATTTAAATATATATTTGTCTTCACAAATCAAAACAGCTGAAGCTATGTTTATGTTAGGAGGGTTATCGGACCTGTAATTTGTGTCTGTGCTAATAAATTCCAGCTGATTAGTAATGAAAGGGAGACCTTTACTGCTAAATACCTTCTGGCCTGCATGCTAGTAAGTGTAGGTTAATTTGATATTGTTAATTGCAAGCAAAACTTGCCAATGAGCAAGATCAGATTGTTTTACTCACTGGTTTTATCAAAATTCCTCAACAATTGTTCAAACATGTATTTTACAATCAAGTGATAAAAGGGGGCATTTTAGGGTATGCACATATTACACGATAACTGTTCAGCTTGAATCAGAGTTGCACTGATTGGAAATCTCAGTGAGCCTATTTCAAAGCAGAATGGCAAAACAGATGAATCTGACTGATTAAACGTGATGCCAATCTGGAGAGAAGAAGATGCACATAGACACTCTGCAAATTGCCCATTCACCTACAATCAGTCTACAAAGCATGAATATGGGATTTTATAATATTTGCACTGAGCTGTCTAAACTGAGGCTAAATATTTTAAGTAGCTGTCAATATTATAGAGAGCGGACTCTAATGTCCGTAAATGGGTTTTGGGGAGAGGAGAAGAAAGGCTGTGAGGTGAGTTATTGGTTGTGATTTATTCAAATCCTCCATTTATTTGCTAAGCCTATTAGATGGCGAGGAGAAAGAGGCTAGTTATAATTCTGAAGAGGAAATGTTTAGTGGCAGTCAATATAATGGAGCATCTGCCACCCCTGAATATGGCAGATCTATCTTAACATCTGGACTATGGACAGATGCCTGCAGAAGTTCTCCTTTTTGTTTGGGCAATGTCAAAAAGATGAGATACTATTAGGTCCAGGTTTTTTTTCAAATGCATGATTTAAGTGCCGTAGTAGCAATGGTAGGCCAACTATTTAAGTGGTTCAACATTTTTCCTTCACAGCAGATGTGGATGACTGCCATTAGTGGTGTGAAGTGCTCATTGATTACAGATTTTCATGCCATATGGGTCCTCCGTGATGTTTCTTTGTAGAGCAATTGCTAATATTTCCATACGTCACCGCTGGAATATGGGACTTTCAATTAGAATGGGAAAGCAAAATTTAATTGTTATTATTCCATGTTCCATGTTTAGAGGGTTACTGTGTTTAAAATATGAGACCCACAATTACATTCAATGAATGAATGGACTGTTTATTTCACAATTCTGTCTCAGAATTCAGAACTGTGACATATAAACTCATAATTCTGAGAAGAAAAGATTGATTTGTGCGATATTGTTTCAAAAAAGTCGATAAAAAAAAAGTTTCACGGATGTGCTTACTCCATGAAGACATGGCAGCAGTGTCACGTCTTCAGCCATCATGCTCTGCCTAAGTATGTGAAAAATGGTGGATTGTCTTTGATAAGTGTCTTGTCTTGCTCCTCCCTCTAAATTTCAATGTCTCATGAATAATGCAACAGTATGACAGCCTGCATAAATGTTATAAAGTAATGTAAGTTAGTGAATATGTATCCGTTCCCTGTTAGTTTTAGTGGTGCAGCATTCCTCGACATCAGCAGAATTGTGAAAGTGCAGCAAGAACAAGGTAACAGCATTAAAAATCTGGGCTTTTACTAACAAGAAAATACAGCACGAGCCAGTGGAAGACACTACTTTGGGTTATCATGACTGCAGAGCCTTGAACTTTAGGAGATTTTTCTTCAGAATTGCATTTTAGTCTAACAGTAGGAAAGAAACCTCAGCGGTCTTTTGAGGTGTGTGATGTGCCATCATTTACATAAACATGCTGAGTTCACTGTCTGAGGTAACAGCAGTTCATTACATAGGAGTTACATTTGCATAGATATGAATATGCAGTGACACTGGACGAGGTTGGCACAGACTGTGCTTCTTTTGAAACAGTTAAGTACACATGTCTTTGGTAAATTGGTGAAACGTATGCTTGCAGTCATTTCACAGTTGAGACATTTCACTGTTTAATAAAAACGAACAAGTAAACTTCTGAAATAAACACAGTTTCTAGAAATTGGTTACTGGAAAGCATAGTTGGTTAAGCTTCCAAACTTCCATTCACAACCTTCAAGAAGCATTTCTACAGGCACGTAACTTAAGCCACATCAAGAAACTTCATCTCTGATATCTCTTTCCCTTTTCTGCATTTGTACTTATGCTCTAGCTTGAACTATTCTAGCTTACTCTTGAAACTTGGCATTGTGGGACTACAAGAATTGCTTGCTCTTGTATGATAAATTGCTTGTGATGTTCCTCATTTGTAAGTCGCTTTAAATAAAAGCATCTGCTAAATGACTAAATGTAAATGTAATGTAAATGTAATTACTTCAAATCCCTAGCCCTAAGTATAAGAAATTGTAATAATGAAGCTTGCCTTTGCAAGCACCACTCAATATTTGCTAACACTGACTATACGCATAAGACACAAG